TCTGTAAATCCAAATTTACATATTTTTTTAACCTTGCCTTTATTACTTTTTATAAATAATTCAAGGTGACAGACATACCTAATACTCCTTTTTCCTCCTATTTTCCCCACAACAACCCTGTGAAGTGTCTTAAGCCAAGAGACAGTGACTGACCAAAAGTTACCCAACCAACTTTCATGCCTAAACTTGGATTAGAACTCATAATCTCCTGTTTTCTAGCCTGATTTCCTAACCGCTAGACCAGGGGTAGGCAACCTTGGCTCTTTTATGACTCGTGGACTTCAACTCCCAGAATTCCTGAGCCAGCCACGTTGAGGGGAAAGGGAGAGGTTTCCATGCTGAGCTATGCTGGCTCAGGAATTCTGGGACTTGAAGTCCACGAGTCATAAAAGAGCCAAGGTTGCCTATCCCTGCGCTAGATCAAACTGCCTAAATTTGTTCTAACTACTTCACCAAGCTACACCGAAAAACTACAGGGATCCTGTTTCAAAACAAGACTGAGATTTGAACCTCTGACAAATTTGAACTGTATTTTCATTTATTTACAAGTGAGTCTGCAGGTCTTTCCCAAGTGGCTAGGAACAACTTAGAAACATTGACTTGCTTGGCCTTTACCGAGAGTTATGCAGTATGAGGAGCCTGGCTGCTACACAATGGCAGTGGGCTTCTTAGGGTTGAGGTTCAAACTGCTCCCTTTGGCTGCTGTCTGATCTCCATGTATATGAATATTCAAACACACATGTTACATGTGAGCAGAGGAGCAGCCAACTGAGTGGGTGTCCTGGCATCCAGTTCTCTCCTACTCTGATTGTCCACTGTGCAAACTGGTGAGGAGGCAGGGTACTTATGCTTTGCAACTGGTGCTGTCATTACAGTGGGTGTGCACTCTCTCGGCAGGCACGGCAAGGAGCTTACAGGTAATCCTCAAGTCACGACTGTAATGGAGCCTGCTATTATGATCATAAATTGTAACAGTCAGTTTTACGTTTTTGTAGCAGTTGTTAACAAACACCATAGTTCTTCAGTGAGTCCACTGTTCATTATGGTGTGGCTGTCAGCAAAAACTTTATAAAATGTGGTCGCATGATGGTGGGATACTGCAAACAGGTTTAAATGCAGCCAGGTTGCCGAGGGCCTGAAGTGCAGTCATATGAATGTGGGGGGAAGGGGCAACTGTTAGAACTTCAGATCCAGTCATACCCCCTTTTTCAGGCAGGCTGTAACTTCAAATGGTCATAAGTCAAGGACTGCCTGTAATTCATTCTTTGTGAGTAGTACTGCCTGTTTATTTTAATTCACCACAGTAACAAATGGCAACAACACCAAACTATAAAATCAGTAAAATGAAGGATTATAATGAATCGTATAAATTAATGAGGAATACTAGGAAAGTATAAGACAAGGCATAGGAGAAACTGGCATGCATAAGGACACATTGACAAGAAACTGTCATAGCCCTCATAGAAGACTGATCCTTGGACAAGGTGCCATGAAAGGCTGTAGAAGCCAATACATTTATTGACCCAGAGCTTAGTAAGCAAGCACATCTGACCCCAAATTCTGACATAAATTTCTCAGAACAACCTTTTTATTGTGAGTAAAGTCTAGAAGCTTTTTATATAAAATACTTTATCTAGAAGTAACTTAGCAGAGGAAACAACATCCATACCCTATCCAGCTTCTGACAGCTGCTCAAATCCTGGCCTAAATATTCAGACTGCTTCTTCAACTCTGACAAAGGTTCTAAATTGGCTTTGTGTTTTCCTGGGCCTCCTATCCTGGAACTCTGATTATAAATGGACTTTCGCACTCTTTGCAAAATATATTTTCAGCCCAGCTCCCTGACTGCATATGAATTGCTGGGAGAGGTTTTAATTCACTGAAACGTTTGCTTCAACTCTGCTAAACCCTCTAGCTTAGATATAGCCTAAACTATGGGATTAGCTCATAGGTTCTTCTACAGTTCATTCAGCCAATAAAGAAATATGTTCATGTATTTTCCATCTTATATATAGGACCTAAGCTATTAAAATGTAAACTAAAACACGACTCAAGCTTTCTTAGGTCTATAAATACACTGCTAAAGGATTCTTTTAAAGTTTTTACTTCAAATATACTACATAAGGAACATAATTCTTATGTATTTCTTTTACAGTTGTGCTGGTAACATTACATATATATCTTTCTCTCTCAGGATTTCAAATAAATAGTCAAAATGCTATAATTTCATAAATGCTCTGCTTTTTCTCTTACATTAAAAGAATCTTATAATCTTGTTAGACAATTTCCTGGTTCATATAATCTGTCTCTCACAAATATAACACATGGGAACACCCACCCATTCTTACACATAGAGTGAAAAAGGATTTGGGCATCTGAGCATAAGTGAGTAACTGATGCATATTTCTAGATGCTTAATAGCATATCCAGATAAATTCTTTACCACCATTTCTCATTGGGAGTCCAACCTCCTAGATGTCTGTATTTTTTTCTCCTGCTCTCAGTTTTAATCTCTCCTGCGTCTTGGATAGTAGTGAGGAAAAATGAAAGTGCATCAGGTAACACTGTCTCCTTGGATGGCTGAATTGCAATTCCCGTGTGCTTTAATCTCAGCCAAATCATTCTCCTCTGTGTAGCAATTAAGGTGAGAAAAATAATTCCAATGGGTGCCACAATATATCAATAACAGTCTTTTCTCCATCCTAACTAATATGTTCGTGTGCACGTGCACATGTATATAGTGTGGAGCTGGGGAGAATATATACTGTATGAGTAGGGAAGGCAGAAGTGCCTGCTAACTAATACCTTTTCCTTGAAGGAATGTGGCCCACAATATAGAAATGATTCTCTCCGTGATTTAAATCAGTAGCCCAATCTTTACATTTATACAAACCACTACATCAAGACCAAAATGTTTTGAAAACCAGTACTAAATTAGGGGCAAGCAATATGGTATTTTTGAAAACCGGGGTGTATATAATTCCATTAGAAATTATATTTTTTAAAAAAATGGGCCAAATCTTAGGTATGTTGGCCTGTAGATAAAAAGTCAATATGACACCTACACCAGAAACTATTTGTGTTATTCTTGTGAACCCTGCTGAAATTTTATTCAAAACAGCTGTGGTGGCGCAGTGGTTACGAATGCAGTATTGCAGGCTGACTCTGCTCACTGTCAAGAATTTGATCCTGACTGGCTCAAGCTTGATTCAGCCTTCCATCCTTCCAAAGTCAGTAAAATGAGGATCCAGATTGTTGGGGGCAATATGATGACTCTGTAAACTGCTTAGAGAGGGTGGTAAAGCACTGTGAATATAAGTCAAAGTGCTAAGTGCTATTATTACAGCAACTGCATGAGCCTTTCAAAAGATGCAAAGCTTAAAACTCTGCTTTATTGATCCAAGGAAAGAGGCATTATTCACATGTGTTCTCTTCTGAATACTCTGCATAGCTCTCATATATATTACCTAAATGCAGCATTATGGCAAATGTAATGCTATGTTAGCTCCTATAGAATAAATGAGTTCTGCACAGCATTTGATTTGATTATTACTGGCACAATGGCACTATGATTGACAGTGTCTGGTCACCAGTATAACAGCAAAACAGGTAAGCAATGTCTGGTCACCAAAATTGTGAGGAAGAAGCAATGTGTTCTACTCCTGCAGTTTTGCTGACTAATCTTCATTTTGTTGTATAGTAAATCAAATTTGGCTAAGAGTTACAGAAACTGTAACAGCAAATAAGATCAGCAATTGCTTAAGTTCTATTACATAGTTGTTATATTTTGGGCATGACTCTTGGTAAAAGTTAAATTATATATAATCATTTTATCCTGGCTCATATATTAAAAGTAGCATAATATGGGATACAAAAAATAATATTTAGTATGGTGGGAATACAGATAGACCAAGTGTCATATATTTCACTGGTTAACTGCTGAAGTTGATAGTGCAGGAATAATAAGTATGTCAACTCTTCAACGAATCTGGCTGCAGCGATTTTTGCTCATTCTAGGTTGCCACAAGAATGGGAGGGGGTGTGGAGAATTTCCACTAGTCTAAACATTTTACTGTCCTGTGGGAACCGGAACTAAGGTCATTTCTGTCAGTTAGATGGGGGCATAAGGATTTGGTTAGAAAACCTGCCAAACACTTCTATTGGAGAACGTAGCTGATTGCATAGCATTGGGGTGGGAAGTTAACTTTGTAATATTGTTTCTCTTTGAAGGGAAATTCAGATTTGGTTTCACTTTTGACCGTGCCGATACTATGTAATCAATAAATATAGTCTTTGAGGAAATCTCAAGCCTTGGAGTTCTGATTTATTTGGTCTTGTCTATTGCAACTTGACAAAGTGATTCTCAGGCCAAACAGAGCATTATTTAAGCAAATGGCCACCAATCGTGAGGACAAGAAGACAACAAACAAATTTCAATTCACTCAAAAATTCTGGAGAAAAAAAAATATTGGATCTAAAACCCAGAGCAGGCATTTATATATTAGGTTTAATTTCTGTGCTCTACAGAAACTGATCTTCTACATACCGTATATTCCGGCGTATAAGACGTCTTCGGCGCCGAGTCGCATGCCTAGAAAGTTGTCTTATACGCAGGAAACTACTGTAATTTCCGGTGTATAAGACAATTCAGCGTATAAGACGACCCCGACTTCAGCGCCGATTTTACCAGTTGCAAAAGTCGTCTTATACGCCAGAAAGTACAGTAGGTAGGATTTCTATCTCATCCTCAATAAAGCAAAATATGCAGCTGTATCATATCTAAGAGTTTCTTCATTGTGGAAATCCCTGAATACAACTGGAAAACTGAGTTTTACTGCTAAGCAGAGAGTGAAATCTGATCCAAGATGAAACAGAACTGGCAGGAAATGAAGCAGGAAGAACAGAAAAGGCAGCAATATAGTTAATTAGATAGTATTTTTCACTTTTTGTTCTTTTTATTTATCTCTGCTAAAAAAAAAGAGGTAATAAAGTATACTTACACTGGGATGTGTTCAAAGGCATCTTCAAAGTTTTCCTGCAAATCAAATAAGAATAAATAATTAGAAAATTCATTATCTTCCTATAAAAATCCAACAAGGTTTACTAAATAAATAAATACTAAATAATATACAGCGTAGCTGTGTACTGCTATTTGATACTTGCTTTCTAACAGAATTTCTATGCTATGAAAAAAATGTAAGCAGTAACAGAGAACACTGGAGGGTTACAGTAAAATATCCATATCCCTGAATCATCACTTCCCTAAACTAATATAAATAAAATAATTTCATTGATCTTAGGAGCACTCGATAGATTAAGCATTTTCTTGTGGTGGACATAAGTTTTTCTTCTTGGTTAGGGAAAGGTAGATTATATTTTTGTCAAATAAAAAATTCAATTCAAATACCAGAAAAATCAAAATATGTAATGAAAACTGAGAAACAGAACAGTGAAGGTTATACAAATGAGAAGGAAAGTTTGAGAACTAGTGAAGTGAATATTTTTCTTGTTTGAAGAAATCATTTTCAGTGCAGTCTTTTTCAGAATACAGGATTGCAAATAAAAGCAGTTATCGTTCTGTAAATTAATCATCCTCTCAAATGTTATGCTTATACAGTTTAAGATGCTCAAAACTTCTAAAAGGCTTCAAAACCTAAAAGGCCTCAAAACTTTTAAAAGGCTTCACTATTAATAAATTATAGGGGTCAACTAAACTCCTTTCTCTGAAACAGATCCAGGAAAAATGGAAATGGCAAGGTACAGTATGAGAAACTTTAAAAAAGTATACTAATCAATTAAAGTTTGATGTACTAGTATTCAATGCACTTAAAAAACAAATTCTCACATCGAATTTGTGAATTCAGTTGAATCTCCTATTGACATAATTCTGCAATATACAGTTAATATGTTTTACAAAATTTATACTTTTACATCTTTATAAAATCAAACCCCCAAAATAAATAAAGATTAAATTCAGATTAAATTCAGTTATTGTGACATACAATATTGAACTATAATATTATGTAGAAGTAAAAAAGTTGAGGCCATATGATATTGTTTTATTCTACCACATGAAAAATTGTCCAATGTCAATGCTTTTCCTTCCCCCCCCCCTTTTTCCCTACATTTTCTTCTCTTCCTTTTCCCTCCTCTACATTCTCATTTTTTTTATTTTCCTCTGAATTTTATATTCTAATTAAAAATTAACAAAAAAAAGTGTAATGGTATGTGGGAATGATCTTGGAGACCAGGGAGGATATGCAACTTAGGGAATAGTCAGATAAGGGACATAGCATTGCAGCTATATAATGGGCAGACCAAGAGGCCCAGGAGGGACCCTCCCTAAGATATTAGGCTGTAAAGGTGACAGCGGGAGAACTGTACTTTTAAGCTTACAAGATCCATGTAGTTTTTCAATAAAGCAGAATTAGTTTATCAGGCCATGTTGCCCATCTGGTTTTCCTAGTAAGGTTGACAGAAAGGTATTGGAAAGCAAGGCTGGTGGGATTATTTTTCCTTGAAAATAGAAGTTCCAGCTTTATATATACACTCATACATCAGTTAATATTTGAGGCTTAGGTTTTGTCCATTCTGAGTCATTTCAGCATCCTTCTTATTCAAAAGTCAGATAAGCAATCTAGAACAGTCCAGCTCATTGAATGCCTGATGATTTATTTCTTTCACATCAGTCCAAACCAGACTATTGAACTAATTTCTAATAATATATTAATAGCTAGTAATATGCAGAATGGGATGGGGAAAATGTGTCAAGTCTGAATTCTAAACGTCCTGAAAATTTTTGGAATATTCTGCTCCTCCTCCAAATCATGTTATTCAAGGGGAAGTTCATAATGTTCTGGAGTCGGTTCATCACAGTCTTGTGGGTGAACAGAACATCATGTAATTCACTGAACTATTTCATTCTTGACTCAACTAATTTTCCACAGCCCTGATATAAAAGTTGTTTTGCTTTCATTGCAAGGGTATTTCACTGAATTGGTTCATTAAATCACTTGTGTCTTATTTAGGCTTGTATGAAAACCTGAAAAAATCAGTATATTTAATGAGTGCCAGGGAGTGTTGCATTTGTACAAATTCTGAAGTATTTCAAATATTTTAAAAGTTTACTTAAAATGGAAGAACTAATGCAAGCGACCATTCCTACAGGAGCCTCTGGATGTATGTATGTGCCCACCTACCCACCCACATGTATCTACATATACAGACTTAGAAGCTAAAAATGATCCCCATGACTGTGGTTCCTATATATTATGCCAGGCTGAAATAGTCTACATATTTGTATTTAAAATATGGGAAATATTTATACCAACACAAGACTTTCTAAATATATGCTACATTTCAACAAAAAGTTCAATGTGGCTTGCATCAAAACATTGGGAATGCCATCACTGAATTCAGCTTAATTTGGCAAATATTATCCATCATTCAGTTCTTGAAATGTATTGGGAGAATAGCAATGTAACAATTTGTCTATATGGTCTTATCACTACTGTCTCATCTTGGCAGCAGCAGGAACAGCCACCCAGTTCAGAAGTTGTATTAGCAACTCTTTGGATTATCTCAAGCTGTGAATGTCCAACATGATTATTCACTTAGGTAGGAAGTACTGATCAGTGATATAGTTCCATATGCTTGTCAAACAAAGCCTGAAAAGTTGCACGAAGTATAATCCTCTAGTCAATTAGTAAAGTTCCTTCTACGATTTGCTTAGCAGCAGTAGTATAACTTTATTGATTAGTCAATTTACTACATAAAAACAATGGACGTCAGTCAGAATAAGCTACAATAAAATGAGACACTAATATTCAGTAAAATAGGATAAAGGTAAGGTAAAGTAAATATAAAAGAGTGACATAAAGTAATGCAAGATAAAATTGAATTTAAAGACATGAGTATTAAAGTATGTCTTCAGTAGAACACTAGGAAATCTTCAGCCTTATTGGGTTTCAGTGACTGAATAATGCATTTAATTTCTGTCACTGACACTTGTGGCCAAGGAGAGAGGTTATCAGTGGTCAGAAATTCAATACCCATTTTTGAAGACTGATACAACTTGGAGTTGGCAAATAAATTAATATAAACATATAAATATAAACATCCTCCAAAACTGAAGCTGAGATGGCAATATCAAGGAGAAGCTTATGCTCCTTCAACATACTGGATACGATGTTCCAAAATACGACTGGGGATGTTTTACATTTATCTCTAGGACTATCTTTTCTAATTGTACCCTGATGTTGGGGAAGAAGCATCAACATTAGCAAATGGTTGTTTCATTCTATGTCAATCGCTGGACAGGCTGTCTCAGTCCTGTGTGGTGGTCTTCTTCCTAACCCAGAAGCTACCTTTGACACAATTCCCTCTAGTTCCTGGAGCTCAGGTATGCCTGGAGAGCTCATTTGTCTCTTGAGAAACCTATATGCGGGTCAAGAAGCAACAGTGAGAACCGAACACGGAACCACTGATTGGTTCAAAATTGGAAAAGGAGTCCGGCAAGGCTGTATACTGTCGCCCTGCCTATTTACCTTATATGCAGAGCACATCATGAGAAAGGCAGGGCTAGATGAATCAAAAGTTGGAATTAAGATTGCCGGGAGAAATATCAACAACCTAAGATATGCAGATGATACCACTCTAATGGCAGAAAGTGAAGAGGAACTAAAGAGCCTCTTGATGCGGGTGAAGAAGGAGAGTGCAAAAGTTGGCTTGAAACTCAACATTAAGAAAACCAAAATCATGGCATCCGGCCCTCTCAATTCCTGGCAAATAGATGGGGAAGAAATGGAGGTAGTGACAGATTTTATTTTTCTGGGCTCAAAGATCACCTCAGATGGGGACTGCAGCCAAGAAATTAAAAGACGCTTGCTCCTGGGGAGGAAAGCTATGGCAAATCTAGACAGCATACTAAAAAGCAGAGACATCACCCTGCCAACAAAAGTGCGTATAGTCCAGGCCATGGTTTTCCCAGTTGCAATGTATGGCTGTGAAAGTTGGACCATAAGAAAGGCTGAGCGCAAAAGAATTGAGGCCTTTGAACTATGGTGCTGGAGAAGACTCCTGCGAGTCCCTTGGACTGCAAGGCGTTCAAACCGGTCAGTCCTAGAAGAGATCAACCCCGACTGCTCTTTAGAAGGCCAGATCCTGAAGTTGAAACTCAAATACTTTGGCCACCTAATGAGAAGGAAGGACTCACTGGAGAAGGGCCTAATGCTGGGAAAGATTGAGGGCAATAGAAGAAGGGGACGACAGAGAATGAGATGGCTGGATGGAGTCACTGAAGCAGTAGGTGTGAATTTAAATGGACTCCAGAAGATGGTAGAGGACAGGAAGACCTGGAGGAACGTTGTCCATGGGGTCGCGATGGGTCAGACACGACTTCGCAATTAACAACAACAACAACAAACAGCTGCAATGCTCCATTTATATTCCTGGTGTGACCTGCCACCCAGCTCTCATTGTAGTTCCCAGGGTTTTAGGCAGTCAAAACCTTCTTCTTTTCTATCAACAGAATTTTTGTTTATTGAAGTGTGGAGTGTTTGGAGTACTGTTTTAATGGGCTAGGGTAGAGAGGTTTAGATCTCCTCCAGAGGACTTTGTGTTCTTCATGTTTATGTTTCATAAGACAGGAGAAGGAACCGAGATGCCAGTGACTTCTTTCTCAAAGTAATTACAAGTCCCTTGGGTAGTTGGTAAATCAAAATCAATTAATGGTTTAGCTGTTTTGCTACCAAAGTCTGACAGGGCACTGAAAGAGTTAATCAGGTTTCCTTCCAGGAGAGCAAATATGCACTATCTTGCTGTAGATAGCACAGATTGTTTACCTGGGCAGCCCTCTCTCAGAGGAAGGATTGGAAAGATGTCCTTGAGTTTATCTAAAATTGTGTTGTCACATTTGCTTTTTAAATTGACAGTATTCACTGGGCCAGAATGGATTAGGAGTTCCTCTGAATGAAACACACATTTTGGAAAACTGAAAAAATGTGCAGAAAGGGCCTCACTTTATCCAGCGTTCTA